CCTTCAAGACAAAAAAGTACAGAACAATAATAGTGCAATATGTCAAGTGAAATAAGAGTATATAAAAGCTTATAAAAGACTCACTCACACTTTGCAGAGCTACTCAGAGCTCTGCCGTATAGCGCCTAGACGGTATAATCCCCGTCTCAGGATATCAAGTGATGGTATAATGCGGTATCCAATCCTCCACAGTGGTATATGGAAAGATAAAAATAGAAATAAAATCCAATAGTGTAGTATATCTATTAAAAAGTGTGCAAATAAAGGAAAAGTATCCTACTTACAAATTTCAGAGCAAATATCTTGCTCTGGTATAGACAGCATGTGGTGGTATGATCCCCACCAAAGGATATGTCAGGATTCAAGATGTATCAGGAACAACAAATAAAGTAGTAAAAACTATAACTTTATTGTTACAAAATAAAAAATATGTAATAAAAGAAGTATCAGATCTCTTACTTAACGCTTTGATGAGACATCTTTTTTAGAGATTCCATCAAACCGGGAAAGACAGTCCGACCATATCAGTCCAACGAGAGGCCGCAAAAGAAGTTTAGAGGAAGACGGTCAGGTAGACGAAAACAAAAAAGGAAGGACAGAGAGATTTTAAACAAAGATTTAAGTGAGAATGAAAATAAAGGAATCTTCAACCTATCAGGCAAACCTTTAACAAATATACAGTTGAAAGTACTAAATAAAGGTCTTAAATATGCCCCCACAAAAACTTTTAACCCTTTTTTAGCATACATAGACATAAATACATTTGTAAGAAATGCTACTATAAAAAGATTTTATATAAGCAAAAATAATACGATAAATAATCAAGTTACAGATATTAACAATACTAGTGACGATATGTATGTCAAAAGCTCTCTAAAAAATAAAAGTAAGTTTTATCCGTCAAATTTTAAGTCAAGCGCAATAGATATATTTGAAAAAAAGGTATCTAAAGGGATAAGAAGTTTGAGTGAAAAACATATAGGAGATAAAAATAACCTAACAAAAAGGGAGAGCGAAAGCCTTAAAGAGTTACAAAACGATGATACTATTGTTATAAAACCAGCCGATAAGGGGGGAGGTTTAGTGATTTTATCTACAGAAATGTATGAAGAGGAGGCCTTTAGACAATTGAATGATATAAAGACATATGTTAAACTTACAAGGGACCCCACCTCTGATATCAAAAATATGTTAGAGAAATTTCTGAATCAAGGCAAGGATAAGAATATACTAAGTACGGATGAATTCAACTACTTAAACAAGAAATTTCCAAAGATACCAGTCATATATTTCCTACCGAAGATTCATAAAGACACTGAAAGACCCCCAGGAAGACCTATTGTCTCCGGTATAGATTCTATCCTATCAAATATGTCAGAATATATAGGGAGAACTATAAGACCGTTGAAGGTCAGGATTGGGGAACATTGTAGAAACATAGATGTAAAATTGTCCCGATCCTATCTTAAGGATACTATGGACCTACTTAATAAATTAGAATCAATAGAGTGGGAGGATGATTATGTACTCATAACTTGTGACGTACAATCTCTATACACTATGATTGAACATACAAGGGGTTGTAAAGCTGTAAAAACTATTCTAGAGAGACAAAAAAAGATGAAAGAAGAACAGATAAATTTTATAATTGAAGGTATCTTTTTAATTCTAAATAATTATTTTTGGTTTAAAGACTCGTTTTATTTACAAAAAAACGGTACAACGATGGGGACCAGGTTCGCGCCCAGCTATGCCAACCTCTTCATGACCGAGTGGGAAGAGAGAATGGTGTGGAGCGGGCATGGCTGGGTGGGGAGCCTGGTGGCCTATTTCCGCTATATAGATGATCTCCTTTTTATATGGAAAGGTCCAATCTCTACAGCAAAACTTTTTTTAGACTTTTTAAATACAAACAATGATGGTATAGTTTTAAAAGCAGATTTTAGTCAGACCCACGTCACTTTTTAGATTTGGATATTTATATTAAAGATAAGAGATTAAATACAAAAACTCATTTTAAACCGGTTCATGTTAATAATTTTATTGGAACAGATAGCTGTCATTATAGGAGCTGGCTTGACAGCATCCCTAAAAGCCAATTCCTTAGATTGAAGAGAAATTGCTCCGATGCTAATACTTTTAAAACTCAGGCGAACATGATGAAGAATAAGTTTATTGAAAAAGGTTACGATAAAGAGAAAATAGATAAAACTATAGAAAATATTACAAACACAGATAGAAAGGATCTTCTAACCCAAAATAAGGGTTCAAAAAATACTAAGAATAATGGGAAAGAGTTTGTATTGCCTATTGTCTTAGATTATAATAATAAAAATAAACAAATAAAAAAAGTAATTAGGAATAACTGGCATTTATTGAAAGAAGATCCTGTATTAGGAAAAATTATTCCAGACCAGCCAAAAATTGTATTTAGAGGAGCTCCAAATTTGAGAATGCAACTCACACAAAATTATACAAAACAGAAAAAGTCAGAAGTTATAAATAATTTTATGAAAAACAAGAATGGATTTTTTAGATGCAATTGCTGCGTAGCGTGCAAAAAACCTAAAAAAAATGGACCGATATATCCATAGTTTTAAATCAAATAATACAGATAAAAGTTACAGTATTAAAAACACAATTACATGCATGAGTAAAAACGTGATATATTTATTAGAATGTCCATGCGGACTGCAATATATAGGGAGAACTATAAGACCGTTGAAGGTCAGGATTGGGGAACATTGTAGAAACATAGAAAAAGGGCTAAAAACCCACTTGGTATCCTCACATTTTGAGTTACATGGTAATGATCCACAGCACTTAAAATTTATGGGCATTTCAAAATTGTCCCAACACTGGAGAGGTGGTGATATAATTAATAAATTGGGCAAGAAAGAAATGGAGTGGGTCTATTTTTTAGACACACTACACCCTAAAGGTCTTAATGCAGAGTTTGATCTTTTTAATTTTTTATAATAAATATTAAAAGAAAAAATCTTTCACACCAGTTTTTATATACTTTGCATATTTATATACTATTGTTATTGCTTACACACCACCTCCCCTGTGTATCACTTTAAGATCTCCATATATGTGCATGGTTCACTTTGTGTATAGCATATTTTTATAATATTGGTTATTTTTATAGATTTCTATGCATGCTTATTTTCTGGTATGCAACACCTGGTATAAACCTATATATTTTGTGTGTATAGCTCTATGATGTCTTTTAAAAAAAAAAAAAAAAAGTGTGCTGGCTATCTTTTGTAATTAAACATATGTTTTATTTGCTTTTATTATATGTTTTTATATTTACATTCTTTCTTTAAATTTTATCACCTTGTTAATTACATAATTTACTTATTTTATTCTTATATGTATTGTATCCCATATCGGCAATTTGCCGAACTACAATTCCCATGAACAATACCAGATCGTGATACATCACTTCCGGGTGACGAAACAGTGTTTATAGAGAAATGGACAATGTAAACTACATGTCCCATCAACCATTGGGAGATACGCTGATGTCACTTCCGGGAGCCGCACACAACATGAATGGAGGGATACTACATATCCCAGCAAGCTACGAAAAGACTCGCTGACATCACTTCCGGGTGACACACGCGACCCGGAAGTAGGAAGTGAAATTGCATCAGGACTAAATCACATCAATCAGGAACACTTATATAAAGAGGACTCCATTGAATTTTGGACTTATTACTTCTGAAGAAGCCCCAGACCGGGCGAAACGCGTTAAGTAAGAGATCTGATACTTCTTTTATTACATATTTTTTATTTTGTAACAATAAAGTTATAGTTTTTACTACTTTATTTGTTGTTCCTGATACATCTTGAATCCTGACATATCCTTTGGTGGGGATCATACCACCACATGCTGTCTATACCAGAGCAAGATATTTGCTCTGAAATTTGTAAGTATGATACTTTTCCTTTATTTGCACACTTTTTAATAGATATACTACACTATTGGATTTTATTTCTATTTTTATCTTTCCATATACCACTGTGGAGGATTGGATACCGCATTATACCATCACTTGATATCCTGAGACGGGGATTATACCGTCTAGGCGCTATACGGCAGAGCTCTGAGTAGCTCTGCAAAGTGTGAGTGAGTCTTTTATAAGCTTTTATATACTCTTATTTCACTTGACATATTGCACTATTATTGTTCTGTACTTTTTTGTCTTGAAGGTTTTATACATTCCTAATTAGAGGACTCTCTGTATGTATATATTTTAATTATTATTTGCACTGTTTGGGCGCGGTTTACCACTTTTGTCTCTTCTGTTTTACCCGGTAATAGTGGTAGATCTCCCCTATGACCGACTGATTCTGGGTATAGACATACTCAGAAGACTTAACACAATTATTGACTGTGTGAATGGAATTGTATGGTCACAAGCTAAAGTTCCTATAACCTATGAGAAATCACATGTACAATCTGATCGTAACTGCCATGTGATAGAAGAAAGACCTGACTCAATTGAGGTACATTTTAGGAATAGTCAGTCACCTGACGTGACTATCCTGCAGGTGAATGATGCAATTGCACCTGTAGATGAGCATTCCGTAAGAATTGCTCCGGAGAGGATCCAGAATGTCTCTCTGGAAGGTGATGTTTTAACCATTTCTCTCCACAGGGACTATGTTGAATCTGTAGATCTGGCAGGTCATGCTCAATTCCTTGCCAGAATTGAAAGGGTTAATAACAACTTATTCTTTCCTATTCAGATAAATGACTTAGGAAGAAGTAGGAATGCAAAGCTGGACTTAAAGTGTGAGAACAGCTATATTAGCAAAAGTCTGTTAAAGCAGATTGCTAATCCTAAAATGATCAGGTACGCTTCCCCACATGACAGGTGGATCCAGAACCTGGATGGCGAATCAGAGAGTCACAATGTGATGGCAAAATGTATACTATCTATTTCCATCAGAAATAAGACAGTTAAACATTTATTCCTAGTGATAAACGAACCTCGCTGTCAGGTATACATCGCTTTGCCATACACCTTGACCTGATTAATTCCAACTTGTGGACAAGGTTAAAAGGTAATCCTTGTGGATACCTACACGAGGAAAATGCCCTGAAATCAGGACAAATACTCCCATATGCGGTAAGTATCCAAGTTCCTGATGACATAACCATTCCACAGGGGACAAGTAACTTTCTTTTACCCCTACAGGTCAAGAAGGGTCAGAGATTGGAAAACTCTGATGCCCTAATCTGTTTATCCAACAGGATACAACAATTAGGGATGGTGGTAACACATACACCAATGGTAAGTATTGGTAAGAATCCCACCTATATCATGGTCAACAATGTTACACCCAATAGTGTTACTTTACCAAAAGGAACATTATTAGGTCTAGCATTGGATGCTGAGTACTATACATTTGGTTTCCAAAACCAAATTATAGGCCTCATCCCTGAAGAATACTTAACTGAGGATGAAATTGTCGATCAAATATTCCATTCCTCCCCAGATGGATTATTCACTATCCTATCTGTATATCCCTTCAACGTTGAAGAAGGCTCATGTAAAATCGAAGAAGCATCAATCACCTTCGATCATCCGCTCAATGAGCAGGAATCACAAGAGTATCACGACCAAAGAGAAAAAGTAAGTCAACACCGAACTGACCTAACTTCTAGGCTTGAAGAAGCTTATGAGATAGGCCAGCCTGAAATCTTTCCAGGATTTCAGGAAAGGCTAGAAGAGCAAATATCTTTAGCTGACGGTTGCTCCAACGATGCTGAGCGGCAGCAGCTAAAGGAAATCCTTTTGGAATTCCAAGATATTTTTGCCAAAGATTCCTACGATTGTGGGTTAACTAACCTCCACGTAGCCAGAATACAAACTGATCCAAATTTACCACCTGTATTTATCAAACAATATAGACTCCCATTAGCGTCATATGATGGTCTACAAGACATCATTCAGAATTTAAAGGAAAGGGGCATTATACGTCCAGTGCACAGTTCGTATAATAATCCGATCTTGGGGATTCTGAAACCTAATGGACAATGGCGTTTATGCGCTGACTTACGACAGCTAAATAAACGCGTCTATATGTCTGGTTGGCCAACGCCATACATAGACCAATGTTTGGTACAAATGCAGGGATCCAAAATATTCACTGCCATTGACTGTGTGCAGGGATATTGGACTGTACCAGTCCATAATGAAGACCAATACAAATTGGCCTTCACATTTGGAAAGCAGCAGTATACCTGGACCCGTATGCCTTTCGGTTACATAAACTCTGGTCATGAATTCACTGTGTTCATGCATAAAGCTATGCCTGACGCACTCGAGAGAGGAACGTTATCATATGTCGACGATGTCTTGCTGAAAAGCACTTCCTTTGATAAGCATATCATAGAGATTAGACATGTTCTCACTCAGTTAAGAGAGGCAGGGATTAAACTGTTTTTACAAAAGGCGCAATGGTGCCGCACCCATGTCAATTTTCTCGGACATGAGGTAACTTCTGAAGGATTAAATCCCCAGAGGAAGAAGGTTGAAGCTGTAATTAAGGATAAAACACCTTCAAACATCAGGGAATTAAGATCGTTCCTTGGTATGACTAACTGCTCCCGTAAGTTTATAGATAACTATGCAGAAATAACTAAACCACTCTTACACCTGCTTAAAAAGGAAACTACCTGGAACTGGGGGGATCCTCAGGACCAAGCGGTAAGTGAACTGAGGAGGAAGCTCACTCAGGCACCCTGCTTAGCATACCCAGAGGGGGGTAAACCCTTCTATCTGGAGACAGGATATACCGATTTAAGCATCAGTGCTTTTCTGTATCAGAAGCAGGACAGTTTAAACAAAGTTATTGCATATGCTAGCAAGACTTTGTCACCTGTTGAAGTTAAATTCAACACGTGTGAGAAGGCATTATTGTCGACTGTTTGGGCACTACAAAATTTTCGTAGCTATATCCAAGGTGAGAAAATAATTGTAGAAACAGCTCACCAACCTCTACAGTATCTGCAGAGTGAAAGAATTAGAGACGGTAATCTCTCTAACAGTCGGATTACTGCATGGACTCTATCCTTACAGGGATGGCCATTAGAAGTCCGTTATAATAAGAGAAGTCCAGTTGCCCAAGGTTTAGCAGAATTACATGACTGTACTGCTCCATCTCTGGATGATAATGACACCGGAGATGACTTCCTAGAAGAGCAATTGCTTTCTCCTTATAAAGTTTATGACGAGGAATACTGTCGACCACTACCGTTGGTATACATTGATGGTTGTTCATATAACCACGTCGTTGGTGCTGAACGGAAGTTAGTTGCAGGTATCGGAATCGCCTGGACAGGTGATTATCCCAATGTATCTATAGGATACAATATTGGTCCCAAGAGCAGTCAGATAGCCGAACTCTGTGCAGTATATAAGACCATTCAAATGGCAATAGAATATGGTATCAAAGAATTTGTTATTATAACTGATTCCAACTATGTTCGCAACAGTTTCATCGAATATCTGCCTAGCTGGAAACGTAACCAAATGCTGAAAAGCAATAACAAACCTGTTAAACATGGGAAATTGTTTTGTAAAATCGATGAGTTGGTTAAGGAAAATGGTTTAACCATATATTGGAAGAAAACCAAAGGCCATTCTAAAATAGAAGGTATTGACAAGGATGGTAATCACTTAGCCGATTCACTGGCAAACAAGCTGCCATCAATGGTGAAACCCTAAACATTGATGATCTTATGGGTTCAATTCATGTTGAAGCCATAACTAGACGACAGGCTAGAGATAATGCCGACATAAACGTCGTGCAATGGAGTCAAGAAGCTCCTAGTGAGGACCTGATTACCAGTCAAAAGAACGATCCCGTCATAGGCATTTTCTATAGACATATAGAAGACCCTACTGACAATCCCATCACAGATGAGGATTGCAAAGATAATGAAGATTTACGAATCTTGATGAGATATAAAGTCCAAGTTCTGGTCAGAACTTCTAAACATGGTATACAACAATGGGTAGTCCCAACTGTATACAGAGGGTTAATGCTCCAACACGCACATGATGCACCTACATCTGGGCATCGTGGTGATAAGATCACATATGAGATATTGCGTGATTATGCATATTGGCCACACATGTTAAGGGATGTTAAGACATACTGTCAGGGATGCTTGATTTGTCCGCAATATCAACCCCATGGTCCAACCCATCGTGCACCACTTCAGAAGAGGGGGGTGTCATTACCCTGGTCTGATATTCAAATTGACTTTATAGGTCCTGTAACAAGATCTTCAAGAGGTAACAAATACATGTTAACCGTTACATGTATGTACACAAAGTGGATAGAGTGTTTGCCTTGTAAAGAGAACACGAGTACCGTGTGCGCCACTTTGTTGATTAACCATGTCTTTTCCAGGTTCGGTCTGCCTCAAAGAATTGAGTCAGACAGAGGTAGTCACTTTACCAGTGAAGTAATGGCTAAGATGTGGAACATTCTAGGTGTTAAACGAAAGCTACATATTGCATACCGCGCTGCGTCTAGCGGGGGGGTAGAGCGATATAACCAGTCTATCGTTAATATTCTGAAGAAGTATGTTAAGGAGTCTGGTAAAGACTGGGACATTAAATTGCCCCTAGTTTTAATGGCGATTAGAGCTACACCTAGCACTGCTACCAAATTGTCACCTTTTGAATTGATGACAGGAAGAAAGATGGTTTTACCACAGCATTTACTATATCGTACTTCGGATCATAACTTGATCAATGCTGCCACTACGCATCAGTATATCGAAGATTTGCGCAAGCATTTACAGCATGCGTTTGCTTTTGCCCAAAAGAATCTAGAAAAAGCAGCGACAGGGGTTAAGACCTATTACGATTTAAAAACCACGAAAAAGGAATATGAGATCACAGATCAAGTCTATCTGTATAACTTTGCGCGAAATCAAGTCAAGGAAAATAAATTTTTACCTTCTTGGAAAGGGCCATATGTCATCATTGACAAAATTTCCCCAGTAGCGTACAAGATAAAAATTCCTAAGGATGGTGATTTTATTGAAAAAAAGGGGGTTCACATTAACCAGTTGCGTGCTTGTCATCCTAAATCTCAATTAAGGATTATAGGTGCGGATTCGGATGCAGAAGGGTGAACGACTAACCTGGATGAATGCTTGATTCACGTGGTATAGTATGATGTGAAATGTTGTGATGTGCCATGATCTCATGTACGTTCATGTCATTAACCATTTCCTTGCCATCCAATAACTAAATTTTCTAAGCAGGTTACTAGCTTGTTTAGCTGCTATAGGCGAATTACTGAAGAGTCAGTAATAAATGTAGTGAGGGATGAAGTTATAAAAATAGAATTAGAGAGAATACATATGTTGATGAATCGTAATAATGTGTTGTCCTAAGCCAAGTGATGTCACACTGTTATAAGTTTACATGCTTAACAAACCTTGAATCATTAGTAGATAAGTCTGAAACGAGTTTCTGATCCGTGACTGTCGAAAGATGTCAAAGAAGGATGTGGCGTGTTTCTGGATCGTACTGCTCCTGTGCCAAGAGCTACGGACCGACCCGATTGCAGAGATGGGACCATCCTTCGGCATCCTGATTGAAGAGACACCAGGGTTCATCTTGACAGAGAAGAGGATCCTGACCCGACATGTGTTCGTCAGCTTGGACCCCCAAGATTTCCATCGAGAAGGCATACAACATTTCATCAATGCAGCTTCCTGAGTTACAGACTTGGTACCAAATGCACCTCCAAAGAGCACAGGACCGTGTGCGACACATCTTGGAGCAAGCCCGGAAACCATTTGTATCCAGTTCTATTCCGATGAGCAACCGACCCAAAAGGTTCCTCACCGCTATAATTGTTGCATTAGTTTGTGCCACTGTCGGTGCAGTTGTCGCAACTGGAATGTCTGCAGCCAACTCTATTACTGTCCAAAAGCTGGATATGGAAATCTATGCGCTAAAGCAACACATTAACGATATTCATCAGGTGATAAAACAGCAAAGAACACTTCTCCAAGACGTGTTAACCATTGTGGAAGACACAGTCGTTACAACAAATTTGCATTCAGAGTTAATTGCCAAATCCACTGAGTTGCACCAAAGTCATGACTTATTTAAGCGTGAACTTCTATTTCTGCATGACCCAATATTGTTCCACACACTTGCTTTTCTTGACGAAGTGCAAACTGGAATGATCGAATTGGCAGGGGGACGCATACCTCTGTACTTTGTATCCAAGGATATTGTTCATGCGATGCTTGCCAATGTGGATGGAGAAACAATTGAGCCTATGCAATTAAATCTGGCCTTTGAGATGGGGAGTGCCATACCTCTCTTAATTGATCCGGAACATATGGAGATTTGCTTTTTATTGGCCATACCATATGTAACTCCCAAAAACATTTTTCAAATGAAAACAATCTACAATCTCGGTACATGGAAGGAAAATATCCACGTAAAAGTCCAAACCCCAGATGTTTTGGCTTTTCAACCGTGGGTACCAGATTGGTATTCAATACCCATTTTGAATGACTGTGAAAAATTCAAAGACAATAATTTCCAATGTGATGGAAAACCTTTTGTGTACGATTCTACCAATGCTTTGTGTGGGATCGAGTACCTTAAACATGGCTCTGAAACATGTCAAGTAACTATGTCAAAAACCGACAGTAATGCGTTAGTACATGCTATCTTAGTAAAAGATAAATGGTTGGTAAGCACGTGTCTTAAAAACATAAGTGTTTTTCGCAGGGACCGGGTGACTAATAAAGTAATTGCCTTACCAGCACCTGTCTCACTGATCAAGGTACCCCACGACTCTCGTATCACCATCGGTGACGTTACGCTATACCCAGTGTACACTGACGTCATCGAAAGTGCTATTGAGATGGTGGATCCCTTCCAGAATCTAGATATCCCTCTAGATCCTAATCTAAAGTTCTTGCTGGACCATAAGCCCAACCACACTATCCAAATGTCAATCAGAAAAGATAACATTTCTGTGGATACATTTAAATACTCTGAGCTAGATACTGACCTTATTGCTCGTGTTGATTGGTTCATCCATGTTAAGATTGTTATTGGGTGTGCTATGATAATAATGATATTATGGTTGATTGTACTTAGTGTAAAGTTCAAAACTCTTACAGGTACAAATATATACAAAAATGTTTATTCCACGCACGGGCCTATGTTAGAAATTATGTGATTGCACAATATGTCTGGTAACTTCTATAGTGCTTATTCATAAGCTAAATTAATTTTGGCTATGAAATGCACTAAAGGGGGGTTATGTCAGGGTATTTATATCGGCAGACATCTTGTGCTATGATAGAAATTAAAAGTGTATATTCTGAGTCACTCTGAACACTCTATCTGTAAAACTAACCACTTTCCCAGAGCTAAAGGAATGCATAGTATATACAAACCAAGTGATAAGGAGAACGGGGGTTGGACAGACTGTCTAAAATGTTAATGGAATAGATGCATATCTAAACACAGACATTTGTGACAGAGGAGATTAAATAATAAAATTTTACTTTCTATATGTACAAGGTCCCATTGTAAGTTACGGGTCAAAACTCAGAATTTGCCAGACACATAGTCTGGACAAAACTTAAAGAAACTGTTTGATCTGACAGAAAACTTAAATTATGGCCACTATAAAGATAAAGCAAAATGATGTCAAAATAGCCACCAGGAAAAGTTAACTCTTTCCTGGATAGGTATGTGTAATGATATTGATGTTACAAAGTTTTGGAGTCCAGTAGCCAGATCAGCAATGTTTTCTGCCAGAGGTAGCCACTCGTTACCCAGGTGGTTGAGCCCCTGAGCCTTGAGTGGCCTTCTGGTCTTAAGCAGAGATGGGAGACTGGAACAGAAAGATGATAATCGTAGTGAGGCAAGCCGAGGTCAGTGGGAAGGAGAAGCAGCAAAGTCAAAACAGTCCAAATTCAGCAACAGGAAGGAGAAACAGGAACACGCTTGATTAGAGAGTACAGGAACCACAATAATCTGGCAAAGGTACAGAGACAGGAAGTGGCTTTTATAGGCCAAGAACCAGACACCTGACCAGACACAGCTGAAGAGAGTTGTCACTGATAACCTTGACTCTACAAGCAATGGTATCAGATCTCAGGTAAATTTGCAAAAGGCAGGCTGGTGTAGTGGTAAGGAAGAAGTTTAGCACCATGTAAACCAGGGTTCGAAACCCAGCAGAGTCAGTTCCTCACATTACCTCCACCTCTACAGGCGCAGCCTCTGGATGCCCTATTTCCTGGTTTAGCAGGGTACTGTGCATGGAAAGACTGAAGAAGATCAGGAGCATGAATATTGTCCACTGGTTCCCACGATCTATCCTCCTCACCATAGCCTTTCCAATGAACCAAATATTGAAGCTTGTTGCGGAAGATCCTGGAGTCAAGAATTTTTTCCACCTCGTATTCATCTTCACCATCCACGAGGACTGGTGGTGGGGCAGGCAAGGCTCGACCAGGGAAAGTATTTTCATGAAAAGGTTTAAGCAGTGCCACGTGAAACACCGGATGTATTTTCATGGAATCCGGAAGTTGCAGACGGAAGGTGACTGCATTGATCTGAGCGATTATCTTAAAAGGTCCCATGAACTTTTGACCCAATTTATGAGAAGGAATCCTAAGCTTAAGATTCTTTGTTGACAGCCAAACCTTGTCACCAACATGATAAACTGGGGCCTCCTTTCTGTGCCTATCAGCAGCTCTTTTGTAACATTCCTGAGCCTCCGAAAGAGTCTCCTTCAACAGTTCTTGGGAATCTCGTAAGGCGGTTAGCCGGTCAGTGACTGCAGGAATGGGAGTAGTAATTGGGAGACTCACTAGAAAGGTTGGATGGTAACCATAATTGGCAAAAAATGTCAGAGAAGTGGAGCAGTGTTGGGCATTGTTATAGGCAAACTCCGCCGTGGGTAGAAAATCCAGCCAGTCATCCTGCAGGTAACTAATATAGCACCGCAAATATTGTTCTAAAGTCTGGTTGGTTCGCTCAGTCTGTCCATTACTTTGTGGATGAAAAGCTGAAGACAGATTTACATTAATACCTAGAATAGAACAAAAATATTTCCAAAAATGAGATGTAAACTGCACTCCCCTGTCAGAAATTACTTCATCAGGCACTCCATGCAAGCGAAATATTTCCCGAATAACAAGGTCAGCAGTCTGTTTAGCTGAAGGGAGACCACGAGCTGGTATGAAATGACTCATCTTGGTTAACCGGTCCACAACAACAAGAATGGTAGTGTGTTCCTTAGAGGGAGGTAGTTCCACAATAAAGTCCATGGATATAGATCCCCAGGGACGATGAGGAATCGGAAGAGGCTGAAGCAAGCCAACAGGGGATGAGCGAGGAGTCTTATGTCTGGCACATACATCACAAGAGGACACATACTTCTTAACATCCTCATAATATTTAGGCCACCAAAAGGATCGGGTAAGTAGTTCTTGTGTCTTTCGGATTCCTGGATGACCTGCTGGTTTAGAGTCATGGTAGAGGCGTAAAACGTCCAGTCGCACTGATTCTGGAACAAACAGACGCTGTTGAAAAATCCAAAACCCATTAAGCATGGTCATATGAAGATCACGAGGAGGATCACGAAAAACTGGATCTTTAGAGTAGCCCTTTTTAATGCGAGACATTAGATCAGAAGGAAAAGTAACTCCTAAAAATCTGCTCTCCGGCAAGATGGTGGCCTTGGTTACTGTAGTATGGAGGGGGTCAGCTATCCTAGACAAGGCATCCGCCTTGCCATTTCTGGAACCAGGGCGGTATGAAATAAAAAAATTAAACCTTGAGAAAAATAGGGACCAGCGTGCTTGTCTGGCTGACAGTCTCTTAGCGGATTGGATACATTCCAGATTTTTGTGATCTGTGAGGACAGTAATTGGATGGGTGGCTCCCTCCAAGAGATGTCTCCATTCGGTGAAGGCAGCTTTTATAGCCAAAAGTTCTTTATTCCCTATGTCATAATTTCTTTCTGCTGGTAACATCTGGCGGGAATAGAAGGCACATGGATGTAACAACATCTTAGGTCCAGTCCTTTGAGACAGTATAGCCCCAACAGCTGAATCAGAAGCATCTACCTCTACAGTAAATGGCAATTCTGGCTGAGGATGTACCAAGATAGGGGCAGATGTAAACAGAGTCTTTAATCTGGAAAATGCAGTGTCAGCCTTATTGGACCACTGAAAAGGAGTCCCTTTACGTGTAAGTTCAGTGATCGGTGTAATAACGGCAGAGAAATTCTTAATGAAACGCCTGTAAAAATTGGCAAACCCCACAAATCTCTGTATATCTTTTTCATTCTTGGGGATGGGCCAGTCCAGCACAGCTTTAATTTTACTTGCGTCCATACTTAAACCTTTAGGAGTTATTACATACCCCAGGAACTGAATTTCTGTTTGTTCAAACTCACATTTTTCCAGTTTAATGTATAGGTGGTGGGTACGAAGGCGCTCAAGAACAATGCAGACCTGTTTTCTGTGATTTTCAAGATTATCAGAAAATATCAGGATATCATCCAAATATGCCACAACAAACTGATCCAGGAGATCCCGTAGTACATCATTGATTAGATGCTGAAAAGTTGCAGGGGCATTACAAAGCCCAAATGGCATTACTAGATATTCGTAATGTCCGTACCTGGTTCTGAAAGCTGTTTTCCATTCATCATTTGGTCTTATGCGAACCAGATTATATGCCCCCCGTAGATCAAGCTTCGTAAATATTTTAGCTGAACGAAGTCTCTCCAGAAGTTCAGGAATGAGAGGCAAGGGATAACGGTTTTTAACAGTGATTTTATTAATGTCCCTGTAATTGACACATGGCCGTAGACTGCCATCTTTCTTTTCTACAAAGAATATAGGAGCTCCTGCTGGAGAAATGGATGGTCGAATAAAGCCTTTGGCAAGATTTTCTTGTATGTATTCACGAAGTGCTTTCAATTCAGGCTCAGAAAGGGAGTATATACGGCCAAATGGGATAGCAGCTCCAGGTAGCAGCTCTATGGGGCAATCATAAGGCCTGTGAGGTGGAAGCTGATCAGCATTCTTCTTATCACAGACATCTGCAAAATCCCGATATTGTAGCGGAAGCTTAGTTAAGTTTGTAGCAACCATTTCATTAATTGTTGTGGTAACAGGTGTCGCCTTAGAGGGTTGACAATTCATTAAGCAGTGTTCTGAAGGAAAGGATAAAGTTCTAGTCTTCCAATCAATCTGTGGGTTATGCAGAGCAAGCCAGGGTATACCCAAAATCACTGGAAACTGTGTTGAGGAAATTAGGTGGAAAGATATAAACTCATGGTGATTCACTTCCAGAATCAATTTTAAGGGCACAGTCTCATGTGTAACCGGGCCTGACGTAAGTGGAGAACCGTCTACTGTTTCCATTAACACAGGTGAAGATTTAGGGATAGGCTGAATTTTATTTCCTGCTGCAAATTTAATGTCCATAAAGTTCCGCCTGCTCCGGAATCTATCATAGCTGTAGTTGAAATTTTATTATCACCATATTGCAAAGTGATAGGCACCACCAAATGAGGATGTTGAGTCATCATACCTTCTTCACCCTGAGCCAGAGAAAACAAGGGTTGTGTGACAGAATCCAGTTGGTCTGAAATCTGGGATTGGTGTTGAATCTGTGCACCCTCAGCAGTCATAGCTATTGTTCTTTTAGACTTGTTAGGGCAATTGATGGCATAATGCCCTGCACTACCACAATACAGGCATAAGTTGTGAGTGCGTCGCCACTGTTTTTCTTCATTGGATAATGGCCCTCTTATTAGATCTACCTGCATAGCCTCAGGTTCAGAGTCTGTAGGTGTTTGTGGGGTCGGAGTAGAAATTCTTGAATAGAAAGTAGGAGTAGCACTTGGTTTAAAAGAGCCCTGTCTTTCCAATCTTCTTTCTGAAAGTCTCCGATCAATACGGATAGCCAACCGCACAAATGCATCAAACTCAACAGGAAGATCAACACGAGCTAGCTCATCTTTTATAGCTTCTGAGAGACCCCTTCTGAAGTGGAACCTCTGGGCTGATTGGTTCCAAGTAGTATCAGTAACCCACTGTCTGAATTCAGCAGCATATTCAGCCACAGAGCGCCTCCCTTGATGTAAATGAAGGAGAGTGGCTTCTGCTGTAGCACAGCGATTGGGATCATCAAAAACTAGGCACATGGCCTCAAGAAAGTCTTTTAAATTTCCCAAGACTGGACTGTCCTGTTCCAGAAAAGGGGAGCCCCAGGCCAGGGCTTCATCTTTGAAGAGGGAAAAAATAAATCCCACCTTCTCTCTTTCAGATGGAAACCGGTTAGGTAACATCATGAAATGCAAACGGCATTGATTTAGGAAACCCCTGAATTTTTTGCGGTCTCCTCCAAATTTTTCTGGTAGAGGCAAGCAGGTGTAACAGTAGTAGTAGCAGCAGCCGCAACATCATGTGCCCTGTAGCTGGTAAGCTCACTATGCATTGATCGAACTTCATTTTGCAGTTCAGCTACCTGATCCTGCAGCACTTGAATGGTCTGTGCCTGGGTCTGCATAGTTCTTGCATTAAAAGCAACCTGCTGGGCCAATGCAGAATCTGATCCGACGGTCTCCATGAATGGGCCAGATTATTCTGTAATGATATTGATGTTACAAAGTTTTGGAGTCCAGTAGCCAGATCAGCAATGTTTTCTGCCAGAGGTAGCCACTCGTTACCCAGGTGGTTGAGCCCCTGAGCCTTGAGTGGCCTTCTGGTCTTAAGCAGAGATGGGAGACTGGAACAGAAAGATGATAATCGTAGTGAGGCAAGCCGAGGTCAGTGGGAAGGAGAAGCAGCAAAGTCAAAACAGTCCAAATTCAGCAACAGGAAGGAGAAACAGGAACACGCTTGATTAGAGAGTACAGGAACCACAATAATCTGGCAAAGGTACAGAGACAGGAAGTGGCTTTTATAGGCCAAGAACCAGACACCTGACCAGACACAGCTGAAGAGAGTTGTCACTGATAACCTTGACTCTACAAGCAATGGTATCAGATCTCAGGTAAATTTGCAAAAGGCAGGCTGGTGTAGTGGTAAGGAAGAAGTTTAGCACCATGTAAACCAGGGTTCGAAACCCAGCAGAGTCAGTTCCTCACAGTATGTTTAGTGGGACAAGGCTGCCCTCTATAGATCAAATAACTAAATTGCGATCTGGAAGATAACTACACCCCAGTGTTGCTATTGGTTTACCAACTAGTGAATTTTCCCTTTAAAAGTTAGGACAAAGGGAAGACAAGAGGGTTGGAAAAAAAAAGAGAAAGAGGAGGAATTGGAAGTTTGGGGACTCCAACTCGGACATGCAGAGAAACCCAGGACAACATCTGAGACTAACACTCTAACACTTAGAATTTTACTGACTTTCTAACCAACACCACCTTTCACCATAACTCATGCACCTACAGACATCCAAATAAGTTCCTGAGACTATCTACCAATCGGATGAAATATCTACTCAACTGGTAATTATACTGGTTTCATTTAATTAATTAAATTAATTAAAATTTACTAATAGCATGATATATGACTGGATAAATCACGGTCAGATTTCCATATTAAGAAATCTTAGTTAACTAAAGAATATATAGTTATAAACATTCCATTCTGCAGGTGGAATTAAGAATAATTATATGTTAATGTGATAGTATCACATGTTAGCATACCGCTGTTTTTATCCAGGTGTATTGATTTGCTCTAATATAAGATAAGATATCTTTTTAGGCGAATTAAAATCTGCTTATAAAATATGGTAGATTCTCTTATTGGATGGTTCCAGGAAATGACTAATGAACTGGTTTAAATGTTATTTTATTTAAAATTACATAAGAAAAGATCTTAATTACCTAGGAGATCTAGCCAGCATTGAAAGGGTTATTCAGTTGATCTAACTGTTAGCCAGGGTTTTATGGCCCTTCGCTGTGAAAAGCTTCGCTTTCTATCTCTGTGAAAGATAATCATAAATCGTGTAAGTCTTGACAGAAAATGCTGTTTAGCCATTGAAACGTGTATACCCATTCCATTGTATTGCATATCATTCTATACTGGATATTCATTGATTATTGTCACGCATGTTACATAATATTATTTGTTAATTAATTGTTATTATAAAATAAAATCTATTTTTATAACATTGTGATATTATTTATATGAAATACATTCCACTTAACATGATAACGATCTTTGGGATCTGAGAATTGAATTAGTGGGCAATTCTCACTGTTTACTATTATTATCCCATAAATATCCCCACAGGGGGGAGAAAGAGAGTGACAAGGGAGGGGGAGAAAGAGAGTGACAAGGGAGGGAGAGAGATTGACATCCATCACACACACACACACAATCGCACAATCATGCAAACCTTACACACACAGAAAGACACAATGCATTCCTTACACACACTCAATGCACCCCTTACAGACGCACACACTGCATCCTGTGAACAGAAACACACCTTACAGCCCTTACACATACAAACACAGATTCACACAATGCATTCCTTACACACATATCAGGACATCCCCTACACACTCTACCCCCTGTGAACAAACTCATTGGTGTAACATGACCCAGACCTTGAGGTGTGTAAAGGGCCCCCAAAAAATGGAGCTGCTTCCCGTTCTCCCAGAACATTGATTTTTGTGACCACAGTTACAAACAGCCTCCAGAGAGCCTGTTCTACACCAGACCAGTGGAGCCAGACTGCAGCTAGAGCCCATCATCATCCTCATCTGGTTGTAAGCAGGCAATCCAGTATATTATTCGTGTCACTAATCTCTAATTTACCTCACATTACAGAAACACTATAGTTCCCAGAACCACTGCAGCTTAATGTAGTGGTTCTGGTGTCTATAGCCTGTCCCTGCAGGCCTTTTAATGTAAACACAGTGGCACTCCAGCACTGGCGTTAGTTAACGACTGACAGGAAGGTAGTGTAAACGAGGTTAGGGAGAGAGAAGAGGCACAGGGTCCCCAGAGAACAAGGGACTAAATGCAGATGAAATCAGATCTAAATGCAGATGAAAAGCCTCACACAAAAAATAAATAATTAAATAAATCTCTCAATTCATCCTCAATTCTCATTCAACGTTGTGACGAGACCAATCTCACCACTGTGCATTGGAGGAGCCTGGTTGCCTGCCTGCTGCATTTTGACTATGGACTGGCATTTAAATACCCTATTTTCCTATGCAGAAAGGTCTATTCATGTTTTCTGCCCTGGCGTTCGGTAGATTCTCGGATTTACTGAATTAACTCATATAACCCAGATAGCTATGCCATGGAGCCTATTCATGTAATAAAGGACTTTGGCTCCATGGCAATTGAACTTTATGTGTTTGTGGTCTGAGTGCCATTCAGTATTGTGCGCTCAGATCTAAGCTATCTGGGGATAGGTAGAATGTGTATGTTCTATGTGATATATGTAACCGTATGTATTTTTATGTCTTTTATTGTCCTTTGTCTGCCATGTGTTCAATGGAGTTTTGCCTCTGTCCTGGAGATAATTGGATTACTTCCCAATTATCTCCAGGATAGAAGACTCTGTGGAACTGGTTTTGGGCAGAAAAGCCATGCTTCCTGTGGTCACAAAGGACTACGATCTATCTTTTGAACCACTGGACCAATTTGTATGATTTTGACGTATGTTTGTATTTGGAGTATGCGGATTCTGAAAATGTAAGTTTTATGTGAATGTGATGCATACTTTTCAAGTTATGAATAATGTGGAAAAATTGTATTTCTCTGCTTGTGCTAATTAAATTACCCATTGTGTAAGGTAATTGATCACAGGCAGAGGGGAGGATTTTGTGTGGGAGTGTCTGAGTGTATTGTATGTGTTTATTGGTTGTGTTCCAAAACCCTGTGGGTGGTACTAATGTGTAAGAATGTGTACATAAGAACAATAAACCCACAGCTCTGTCTGTTCACTGCTTGACCCTCAACACGGAGCTTTGTCTCGTTCTTGGGGGGATTTATTGTATGCTGTTCCAGTTTGACTGCTAGGAGTGTAAACCTATTCGTATGGTTTTTCCTATTCGGCTGTTTACAGCATTCATATGGTTTCCTGTTCGGCGGATTGGTGTTCTGCAGTAGCTGTGCCTGTGTCTCTGGAAGGGAAGATCTACTAAACGGCGGTTTAACCCTTTTATGCCTGGGGGTGCCGTTACAATTGGTGGCAAGCGGCGGGATCGTTCCTACAGCCAGAAGGACAGCTACAGGAGACACCATTTCTTTGGATTTACAAGTGGGGGCAATGCATGTCCCAGTACAGCGACCCTAAAAGCAACAGAATGGAACCAGCAGTGTTATACGAGGAGGAGGACCTGGATGGCCGGGATGCATTAAGGAAAGGCATCTGGTACCAGGCCCTGGATAATGTACAATACCAGCGGGGTGAGAGTCTCCCCAGTGAAGAGCAGCGGTTGCAGAAGCAAGTGGCCCTGCGGATGCCCTTCCTGGGAGAGCAGCCCCTGGAGGAATGGGTGAAGGAACTAGAGCACCGGGTATGGCAGGAGCTATGGCTGGAGAATGCCTACCAGGCGCTCTGGTGGTATATGGAACAGTATATACCCTGGACAGCCGAGCATGACAAGACAGACAGTTTGATGGTCCTGGCTTGTTATGGGAGTCCTTTGCAGAACCTGACTTCGGGAGCCCTGCGCAGAACAGACTTCAGGACATTTTCTATGAGAGGGAGGCTAGGCATGACTGGGATGACCCCCATGAAGTAGAGCAAGACCTGGCTCACCTAGCAACCCTGGAGTGGGAACTGGAGCAGGACTACCAAGATCTCTTCCACTCCATTGGGAAGGCTCCGCAGGACAGCAGAGTGACAGATCCAGTTCCAGACCCTTTCAGCTGGGAAGATATTGTTGAGATTTACTGGGAGGAACCCCAGGCGGCAGGTGGAGATAGGACTGAGGTCTCTCCACCAGCCCTACAGGGATGCTGGGCGGTCAGCCCAGATCCCCAGCGGCAGATTGATGTGCAGGGAATAGAGAGCCATGTCTCCTTTCCCCAGCGGCAGTGTGAAGTGCAGGGAGTGGAGACCACCGTCTCCCCTCCCCAGCAGCAGTGTACCTTGCAGGGAGAGGAGAGCAGCGTCCGCCCTTCCCAGCGGCAAGTTGAGCTACAGGGATGCTGGGCGGTCGGCTCAGATCCCCAGCGGCAGTGTGATATACAGGGAATTGGGAGCCCAGTCTCCATTCCCCTGCGGCAGGCTGAGTTACAGGGGGCAGAGACAAGTGGTCCTGTCCCCCAGCGGCAGTGCACCTTGCAGGGAGAGGAGAGCAGCGTCCTCCCTCCCCAGTGGCAGGGTGAGCTACAGGGATGCTGGGCAGTCGGCTCAGATCCCCAGCGGGAGTGAGAAATGCAGGGAATTGGGAGCCTAGTCTCCATTCCCCAGCGGGAGATATTGCATGGAATTAAGAACCCAGTCTCCATTCCCCAGCAAGAGATATTGCAGGGAATTGGAAGCCCAGTCTCCATTCCCCAGTGGCAGAGTGACCTACCGGGAATAGAGAGCCCAGTCTCCTTTCCCCAGCAGCAGGACTCTGCATTGGGAGCAGAGACAGTCGGACTCCCTCCCCCGCGGCTGGAAGTATGTATGGGAGAGGAGCTGGTTACCCCCTCTCCCCAGCGGCAGCTTAATGTACCAGGGGGAGACAGTAAGCCCCACAACTGTGCAGATGGGACCGTGGTCTCTGCACATACAGCACAGGGGGTAGGGACGGTCGGTCCTGCCCCCCAGCGACAGGGCTGTTTAGCCAAAGGGGTGACAGTCAGTCTCCCCCTCCAGCAGCAGAGCTGTGTGTTTAAAGGGGAGACAGTCGGTCTCCATCAGCAGGGCAGTGTGTCTAAAGGGGAGACAGTCTGTCTCCAGCAGCAGGGCAGTGTGTCTAAAGGGGAGACAGTCTGTCTCCAGCAGCAGGGCTGTGTATCTAAAGGGGAGACAGTCGGTCTCCAGCAGCAGGGCTGTGTGTCTAAAGGGGAGACTGTTGGTCTCCAGCAGCAGGGCTGTGTGTCTAAAGGGGAGACAGTCTGTCTCCAGCAGCAGGGCGGTGTGTCTAAAGGGGAGACCGTTGGTCTCCAGCAGCAGGGCTGTGTGTCTAAAGGGGAGACCGTTGGTCTCCAGCAGCAGGGCTGTGTGTCTAAAGGGGAGACAGTCGGTCTCCAGCAGCAGGGCTGTGTGTCTAAAGGGGAGACAGTCGGTCTCCCCCTCCAGTCGGTCTCCCCCTTCGGCTTCAACCAGGCTACCTTCCCAATAGCGCTGGCACCAGGGCAGAGTACCGCTGTTCTCTGCCCACTCAGCAACCCACCAAGTCAGCGTACCCGTACCCAGCACAGGCATGGTGAGGCACCTGGACATGGACAAGCTTCTCCTCTACCCAGGTGTAGTAACCATTTATTGTGGGTGGGCTGTGCTGTTGATTGTGTTTTGTGGGTGGGCTGCTGGAC